CAAAGATCATTGACGACCACATAAAACTAATTTTTCTATCCTTCAGGAACAGAATCCAATGAAATTTTATATAATAAAATATGTAAGACGGTTTTGCATACAATTTTTTAGGAATTTTGGAGCTGCTGTCGCTATATTACGAAATTATTAATCAAAATAAGATACAATAAAAAAGTCATGTTTTCTACTCCTTTGTAGTGCATCGTAACAGAAATTTTTCGCACTTCTGATGCCTATTGGCTTTTTTGCCGTATTGCGTACGTCTGTTATTATTATTTATGATTAGATAGATATTTAATTTCTCATTCGGAAACGTCTAATAACAAATTAAATTATTTTAAACTGTCAGGATCAATTATTCAATCGCATGCTTAAATAATAATTGCACTCCACATATGAACGACTTACTTATTTAGGAAGTGAAAGGTAAACTTATTTGAAGTAATAGTTTTAATAACAATTACGTACATGTCTGAACTTCTCTATACATATTAATATCTATATTTTCACAGAGGATTAGATAAGTTATTAAAGTAATTAAGCATACTTCTACCATTTTATAAAAACTAAATAATAACTATCTACCAATAGAATCTTTTTAAAATAAACAATAGGAATTAAGTTTTCCTAGTCTAATCATATGTACAATACGTAAATTCGTATTCATGTACCTACCTTCTTATTATTTTGTCTGTAAATAATAAATTTTGCGTTTGTTTTGAAGATTTTATACACTAGTGGCGAAATGAAAACCGAACAATTTATTACATATAAAATCGTCAAAGGGTGGCGTCCATCTTTCGAAAAATACGAAGTGGTGTAGGTAAATTCGTACAAATACCTTCAAACATCTTTTCATTTACATAATAAAGCAATATAAGTCCAATAAATGCAATTAAAAGCTTTTAAAGGGTATGACGCTTTCTTTAAAAGGTTTAGGGTTCGGTTAGTTCAGGACAGTTTTTAGATAATGGTGGTTAAAAATATTTATTCCACCCGTTCACCAATTATGCATTTTCGCTGGTAGGACATAAAAAATGAAAAATGTCGAAAAGAAATTTATATTTTCTATACTCGCGGTGAATTTTTTGGCTTCCTTGTATATCGTCTGTACATAAATAAATTAAATATCAAAATAACTATGTTACTTTTAGCTCGTATGGTATTTGTATGCCATTAAGACCCTTAAAAAAATTGTCTACCTGTCTGTAAGATAATTGCTAAACCGATTTTGGTGGGACAGGAAAGGAGATTAAAGCAGTAATAATAGCAATTGTATTTATTATAAACAATTCCAAATCATTTTTCGCAGACAAAAGTCACATATAAAGCCTAGTACCTACTAATTAATAATTTATTCCTTCGCTGAAGCTAGACACCAGAGACCAGACATTGTTACTGAAAGATAAAAGATCGAAGCTCCTCCAACATGCAATTAAAGAGTAAAAGTATTTCACAAAGCCGTTCATCATTCAAAATGTCGCATTGCACTTTCATTTAACAGCTTCGTGACTTGAATAGGATCCATTATGAAATTATGTGCACAATCGATTTCATTTTTATATTTAGGATATTCAAAATTTCACCATGGCCATTTAGACAATTATTTTTTGAAATACTTTTATTATTTTTCGGTAATTTTTTTTTTAGTTAATAAATCAAAAGCTTAATTATGAAAGCATCGAGATGTCTGGATTGCTACTATATCCAAAATTAAAAAATAATTTTTGATGATTTGCTATATAATTTTCTTTCATTCGTTGGGTTTCATCAAATTTCGATGAAATTAACGTTGTCTAGTGGTGATGTATAGGCAACTTCATTCACGCATATGTTTGAATCAGCAAGGATGATCTATTAGTATAAAACATCCTTGGAAATCAGACACCTTTTAGAAAAATTTATTCCATCAACAAGTTTTATTTGATTGTGAACGTAGAAGCTAAAAATTTCATTACTTTTTTAACAGTACGTAAATGTACTTATTGATTTTATTTTTGTTTTGTTTAAGTATATCCTTGAAAAAGGTGAGTAACAAATTAGAGTTTCTTTCTACAATAAAACTATTATTTAAATTTGTCAGTCCTTTATGGATTTATAAGTAATTACTTGTTTATGTAAGCCATGTAAATGAATTGATAAATTGTAATGTTTGTACATATAGAGAATATAATATTATTACATAATATTAGCAACAGAGGGCACTGAATACAGAATGTAGATCAATGTAGCAAGGTAATTTTATTTTTGAAGAAGGAAGGGTTCGAACCAACGAAAGTTTTGTTGTTTTTCATTGATTATTCCTTTTTATGCAAACTAAGTATTGCACATGCATAATACAAACACACATATCAAAACACTTAATTTTTTAAAAATTTTCATAGAAAAACTGAAATCTTTTCTTATAGATCATTAAGTACTACTAATATGTCATTACAACATGGAAAATGTACAACCTGATTTGATAAATCATTTTTCAAATATTAAAAAGGAAGATATCAAATGGAAAAATATAAAAGCTGAAGGATTAGATCTAG